TGGAGACAAAATGTCTTCAGCACATTCTGAGGGGTCTGGCACAGAGTAGGGCTGAGAAGTCAAGATGCCTGAGCTAAGGTAGGCAGGACGGCATTCCTCCTGTGGGCACCAGGGGGCACTGTGAGCCTTAGCTTGGGGTCCAGAATGAGGCTCAGTCCCTGATAGTGCTCAGGTGTAAAGGGCATGAGAAGGCTTCCTTTACAGCCCTCCTGGGGGTTGACATTCACTCCACTCCTGTCACCCGCTGGCTCTTCCTGTGAACTTGAGAAATTAGCAGTGTGGGGCCCTGGCTCAAGGCTTAGGTAAGAGCTCAGGTACTCTGGAGACTGGAGAAGGGATTTGCATGCTCTGCTGAGTGGGAGCCACCCAAACAATTCACAAGAGGGAAGGAAGTCGATTTGCATGAAGAGTCTCCCCCTCTAGTGATAAGGGAGCACAGGTGGCCCTTCCCAGCTGTAGGCTCAGAGGCAGAGCTCTGGGGGTCTCACCATGGCCCAGACCCCTCTTCTGTTCCTCCTGCTCTCTCTCTTCACAGGTGCTGGCCCCAGGTTCAGCCCCCACAGCACCAGGGTCAGGCTGGCCCTGACCTTCAGCTCAGCACAGGGGATGCTGCAGGGAGTGGGGCCCTCTGAGAGTGAAATTCTCACCCTCAGACTCACCTGTCCTGTTCTCTCTTGCAGGCTCTGTGGCCTCCTCTGAGCTGACTCAGGAGCCTGCAATGTCAGTGGCCTTGGGACAGACGGCCAGGATCACCTGCCAGGGAGATCTCTTACGTAGCTATTACTCAGCTTGGCACCAGCAGAAGCCAGGCCAGGCTCCTGTGCAGGTCATGTATCATAACGACAAGCGGTCCTCAGGGATTCCTGACCGATTCTCTGGCTCCTACTCAGGGAACACAGTCACCCTGACCATCAGTGGGGCACAGGCTGAGGATGAGGCTGACTATTACTGCCTGGTATGGGATAGTGAAAACAAGAAGTTCACAGTGACACAGGCAGGTGGGGAAATGAGACACAAACCACCTCCCTGTCAGCGTCACCCGTCTCCAGCCCTTGGAGGATCATGGACAAAGCCATGGCAGTGGTGGCCCAGGTCACTCAGACTGAGACTCCCAGGTTACCCCACCCTTCAGCCCTCTATGCAGGCACTGCAGAGGGTGCGTAGGAGAGGACTTGGGGCTGGCAGGACCAGGCTGCCTGGTATTGCCTGCAGTAGAGTGTGACTTGCTGAAAAATGAATCTGACTACTTTTGAGTGGAAGCGAAGAGAGAAGGGGACCAAATGGTTATGAGGCCTGGACGCCCATATGTGGGGTGCCTGAGCCTAGCTCAGGGCCACTACTCATGCCCAAATATCCTGGAATATTCAATGAACTCCCCAGGATCTCACACACCCCCACCCCTCCAGCTAAAGCCCAGGGTCCTGGGATCCTGAGCAGAGAGGGCCAGTGCTCTGCCCACCTCAGATCTGCTCTTCAGGGTGGACCTGCCAACCCTCTGCTGCTGGGCATGCTGGGCGCTCACTCATGGCTGTGCCCCCACTAGACATTGCTTCCTCTGCAGAGGAGTGTCTGCACTCAGGTGATGCCCCTCTCAGACTGACCCTCTCAGAGGGTCAGATCTAATAACTGCCTGAGACCACAACACCAAGGACCTGTCTCAGCCTCCCAGCTGGGGGCTCAGTCACAGCCATAATGTGGTTTACCCAGTTGTGCCTCTCACACCTCCTTCCAGAGAGAATATCCCAGACCTTGCTGCATGGAGCTTCCCTCTCAGAGTCTGATTCCAGGGAACTCAAAATACAAAACCATCTACAAGGAAGAGTATGGAAGAAGGGAGAGCTGCTCAGAGACTAAACTCTGGAATCACAAGTATTTCTGGTTAATGATGAGCACATGTGAAGAGGGAATTACTTGAGACTGAGAAAAGACTCACCCAAAGACATTTCAGGAAACATTTGCAGGGAGATACACCCACACAATCTGGATAGTACCTGTTTCCACAATCAGAGTATAAATGCAGGTGATTGAGAGATTAAGGAGTCAGAACCGCTTTGCCCTGGTACACGGGAAAATCTAGCTGTAGAGTGAGATCTGCCCCTGTCCCCACTAGGACCGTGTTACAGCAATCTGAA